GTAGTTTACTTCACCGTCTTCAAGCCCAATGATCCTAAGATCTCCGTCAACGCTATCCAGTTGCCGTCGTTCTCGGTCACCAACGACACCGTCAATTTCAAAATTTCCCTATACGTCACCGTGAAAAACCTCAACAGAGCCGCATTTTCTCACTACGGCAGCACAGTCCAGCTCTTGCATTCGGGTTCTCAGATGGGTTTCATGTTCATACCCGCCGGCAAGATACAGGCGGGTGAGACCCAGTACATGGCGGCCACTTTTTCTGTCCAGTCATTCCCATTGGCGCCTAAAGCGGTGGCGGAGACAACCACTGTTTCAGGCCGCATTGGTCTTCCCGATGGGTTTAACGGTTTCCCCAATAATGCGCATCCGGCCAGAGCCACGATGGAGATTGACTCGAGGATGAAGATGGGGGGTCGGGTTGGGGTATTGCACTTCTTCACACATCATGTGGAAGCTAAATCCGTGTGCAGAGTGGTCATTGCTGTGAGTGATGGGTCTGTGTTACGCTTCCATTGTTAATTCTTTATCTCTAACCTTATTGTATACTTGTAGTTGCAGCTCTTAGTATTTTCATTCTCTCAGTTTATGGAGGATTTGCAATTCGTTGAAGAAAGTGTGAAGATTGGAATTTTTTCTCCCGTTTCCCCTCATTTTCAAGTAAGATCCTCCACTAAAACCTCAAGAAATCCATCATTTTATTCTTTTCTCAACTCTTTTTTATAAAAATAATACTTAAGAAATCCATCATGTTTGGAGGATTTGGTGATTTGGGTGAGCTATCAAATTTGCATGACCAATTTGGAGTAAAGAAAATTTTCTCCATTTCCCTTCATGTTGAAGCAAGCTCTTCCTCCAGTCATCTTCTTTTTGAAATTTTTAGCAAATAATAAGTTATGTTCTTTTCATCTGGGTCTCATCAATTCAAGCGTGTTGTGAGCGTGTGATTGTGAAAGGAACCAATGAAAAAGGAAAGTAGGGAAGAAGGCTACTGAAAAAGGGAAGGCTTTGCTTCCTTGCTTTGTGTGTAATTAATTAGAGAGTAAGTAAAGGTTGATGCTTTGTATTTACTTAATGGTGATGAGATCATTAATGTTGAGGCATCTGCTAGAAAGGCTTCTTTTCCCTGTTTCTGACTTCTTGGGAGAAATCTATGGTAACAGGTAAGATTCAAGATTTAACCACCATTTTCCTATATGTTTGTGTTAGGGGAAATTGAAAAAATTGCGGGAGTTTTTTTTTTTTTTTCGGTTTCCCGCCTGGTATCCGGGGCTTTACCCCGACTAATTCGGATCCGACCTGCGTCGCGTATCTGAAAATAGTGGGTGAGTCTCCCAACGAAGATTATTGCGTACACAAGCTCTCGAACTCGAAATCTTACTTAAACTGAAACAAACCGCTTACTACTTGATCTAACCCCTCATTGGTAAAATTGTGGGAGTTGGTGGAACAAAAAGTTTTGTAGACTTCAGATACTAAGTGAACAACCTTTAGGAATGGTAAGTGTTGCACCTATAAAGATTTTTAAAAGATTTTTCAATATTTATTTATAAAAATATTGATTTTATGTAATTTTTTTAATTATTAAAAATAATTAATAATTAAAAAATAATTTCAACTTGACACGTGACCTTCTCTTATT